ATATATATATATATTATATATATATTTTTGTAAACAACAACCAAAATGTAAACAAAAAAACAAAAACATATTAATCCAAATATAAATATATATATATATATATATATATATATATATATATATATATATATATATATATATATATATTTATATTTGGATTAATATGTTTTTGTTTTTTTGTTTACATTTTGGTTGTTGTTTACAAAAACAGACAAGGCTTCTGAAAGAAGATCATAATGATCTTATCATCAGAACCTTTTACAAGTTTTTTACATCAATACATAAACAAGACTAAAAAAATACAATAAATCGTGATATCAATTGAAAATGTAAATCAAACCACTAATGTTATAAATAATAAAAAAAAGTTAAATCTTATCGTCAGACCTTATAAAAGTGCAAATATATAAATACCATATTTAAATATATATACAAAGTAAAGACAGTAAGACATCTCTTTATAATAGGAAAGAGAAAATACAACTGTCTTACAATTAAAAAGACAAATACATTGTTGTTATAAAAAAAATTTAAATATCAATATATAGAATAAAATTTTTTATTCTATATATTTTTAAAGTTTACTTTTAAAGATCCGGAAAGTATCAGATTTATCAAAATTAGGTAAAACAATTTTATTCCAAAGATATGTTGCTCAAAGTGGTATGCAAAATTTGTTAAATTTTGTTCTACAAATTGCTTCATATTCAAAATTTTTATTTATATTAAGTATTTGTTAATTGGGTTTAGAGAAAAAAGGTCTTTAAAAATAGGTAAATTTAAATTCTTTTTCTGCATATAAATAAAGCATAAAATGTTATAAACATTGAGCTTGTAAATATTAAGTATTTTCATCTCCATAAATAATGGTTTGGAATGAGTAAAACAATCTGCAAAATTATTCTATTGGAAAGCATGCTTCTGATGGCAATAAAGGCATTGTAACTTTTCAGTGCTTGCCCAAGCATAATTTATATGGGTGTGAATTAATGAGTGATAAAGTTGGGTTAAGGCTTTTTTATTTAAACGGGTACTTTATAAATAATTATGTAAATGAGCTGAAATTTTGACATTTTGTTTTTCATAGTAATAAAATTCGTTTGAGAGTTTTTTTTTAACGCATTTTAGCTCTAGAAATTTTTCATATTAATTTTGTTTGACTTGCCTAATTTGTTAGGCTTTGTTAGTTTTTTATGCACCATTTCATTGAATTTGGTATTACGTTTATTATATTTGGTATTATGTTAAAATGGCTGGTAAATTTTGAGTGATTATTTCACAAAAAGTTGCTTATATGTAGTTTTTAATTGGGTGATCGAGGTAAAAATTTAAAGTTAAAATATATATTTTTTGTAAATTTTAATGATATATTTATGTTTAAAAAATTAAGTTTTACTATAGTTCCAATGAATTTTTAAATATTACTTGAGGTACCACCTTAAGAAGTTTGTATTTTTTAACTAGGTTTATTTATAGTTCTTCATTGCCCTGTAGGACAATAATTCTTTTACACAATTACTGTAACATATTGAAAAAATATTGTAATTCCGGTCGGAACTGGAATGACCTAAAAGTCACAAATTCTAGCCAAAATTATGGTACATCCTTAGTTTTAGCTTGAAAATAAGTCATGAATAATTAATGACTTAAACCTCTGTGTTGAATGTTTTTCTTGCTTAACGTATTTTAAATTTGCCATGGTAACAAATTTGCCAGCATTTGTACTACACCGTCTGGAGATAATGCTTGTATGCTATAACTTCCTATTATCATTTAACACTTTTTTAGTTATGCAATTTAAGCATCAAGCAATTTACAATGCATTTAACGCATAGCCGTCTTTACTAACAGGCCTCCTAAGGGCGTATATAGAGGCCTGGGGCTGGGGGCCAACGATATTCTAAAATTACCTTGTTTAATTATTGCAAACATTGTCTTTACTAATTTTTAATTAAAGTACAACAATTATCTAGTTTATAGATACAAAAGATGCCTAAAAATGGTTGTGTTATGAACTGTAATGGTAATTACAATAAGGAAAATAAAGGTAAAAATTTTCTGCCTCATAAAAAAGAAGAATATACTCATTGGGTGAATGCTATACCACGAGACAATATACCTGACAGTCCAGATACAGTTGTTTGCGAAAGACACTTTCCAAAGGCCTCGTGATCCTCCATCATTTTTTACATGTTTCAAACCTGTTTAATACCTACTCTTCCATCTCCATTAAGAACAACTTTTAAAGTTCATCTGTTCGTAACATTAAGAACTTTTAAAGCATCTTCATCTTTATCTGTCCGTAACATTAAGAACTTTTAAAACATCTTCATCTTTCTGTCCGTAACATTAAGAACTTTTAAAACATCTTCATCTTTCTGTCCATAACATTATGCCCGATGAACTTGATATATTTTTAACTGCTGATAAAATTACCATTACCAATTGGTACAGTTAATGTAACTTGGTATTTAGCTGGTGAACAGTTGCTTATCATCCAGTCAACAGGTTTTGAAGAAAATTCTTCAATTGTCAAATTTATGCTTAAAATCAAGAATGATCTTTCTTTTGAGGGATACTTCGGTGAGATTAAACATAAACTAAATCTCTATCTAAAAACAGGCTTTTCATAATTGATTCTTGCTCAAAGTTACAAGAAGCTATTAATTTTTTGAATAACTTAACAAAATCCAATAAAATAGTAAATTTTTTGCAACACATCCGTGATATGATTTCTATTACAGTTGCAAAAAAAAAAGTACATCACAGAAACTATTGCATGAGCATTTGAATACTTTGCAATTTCAAGATCATTATATAACAGATTAAGGGAAGATTATGAACTTCCAAATATTTCTCACCTATCAAAGCTCATTTCAAAACTGGATTCTACAATGGATGATACAGAGTTTTTAAACTCTTTTCTAAACTTGAAAATGAAATGCAAAAAAAGTGTTTGCTTTTGATTGACGAAGTACACTTCAAATCATCCCTTACTTACCATGCTGGCTCAATCTTTGAAAAAGCAGTAAATAAACCAGACTCTTTAGCAACTTCTGTTTTAAGTTTTATGTTAGTTTCATTTTATGGAGGACTGCAATATCTTTGCAGAATTTTATCTGTTTGTGAGCTTGATTCTAAATTTCTGTTTGAACAAACTCAATTTATTTAAGAGGGAATAAAGAGCGCTGGAGGGATACCGGTTGCCATAATATGTGATGATAATTGTGTAAATCAAGCACTACTTAAGATATTGGAATGTGTTGATCCACAGTTGACCAAAGACAATATCTTTTTGTTATATGAATTTGCGCATCTACTTAAATCTGCTCGTAATATTTAGATTACAGAAAAAAGCCAAAAGTTACGCTATGAATATAATGGGGAAACTAAATATGCATGTTGGTCTAATATCTTAAATTTGCTCAGACTTGAAGAAAATAATATTGTAAAATTGTCTAAACTTACAAGTGTGGATATTTTTTTAACAGTAATGCTATTGATATATTTGACAATTTGTCTGAACTAGAAAAGAATGTGCAAATAGATACAAAAGCAGGATTAGTATATATAGCTGGATATATTGTGCGAAATTTATTATTATAGCTGGATATATTGTGGGTGTATTATAGCTGGATATATTGTGCAAAATTTATTATTATAGCTAAAATTATTATTATAGAAATTATTTATTATAGCTGGATATATTGTGCGAAATTTAGTATATATAGCTGGATATATAGTGCGAAAAAAAAAAAAAGTTGAAGAGCAAGAAGAAGCTAAATTTTATTATGAAGAATTCAACCATTATACGGCTAAAATTAATTGTGGAGGTTTGAAAATACCAAATGACAATGTTTGTCAGTGGACCATATTTTCTTATATTTTGTTTCATGAAATTGTTCATATTGTCTGCCGAAAGTCACTCTGCAATATTTTAAGGTAATATCAGAATCTTTTGACTTTAATATGGAAAAGAAACATGCTATTTCACTTTCAAACATTTTTTTTTAAAACTATATTAGTTTATATGCACCAAGGTCATCTAAAGAGTCACAAGAAAAGATCTTGAAGCTTTCAAACTAAACATATTGTGTGTGTGTTTTTTACTCATGAAAACTTTAAGTTACTTATATTTTCTGTCTGTTAAGTAATTTTGGTCAAAAATTTTATATTTTAATCTATATCTTAAATATTTTAAAAACTTTGTTACAAATTTTGTTGTTACTAAATATGTTCAATTTATGTTTTTTCAAAACTTCAACATTTTAATATACTATATAGTATATTTTATTGTATCCTCTGATTGTGTGATTTTGTGAAAGATTTTGCATCTTATAGCTAGGAAAGTTTTATAGCTAATGTTTTTTTATATTTACAGGAAGTTTGTTATGAATAAATAGGTTTTCATTATTAAGTAAGATAAATAGATTAGCTATAGTTCACTCACTCTAAATGGAAGCACTTTTTTACAAGCAAATATTCATGCTACACTTAATTTTTTCTTAGTTGTTGTTTTTTATTGGCCCCCAGTCCCAGGCTTCGATTTACGAGGCCTGTTAGTATAGACGGTCATGATTTAACGCCGTATCAACTAGTATATCTTTTTTTTTTAAGTACGACTGAATTATTAACTTAAAAATTTACTAGGAGTTTTTGTTTTTCATAAACTTTATATTAAGTTACAGGATCATACATAAGAATTCTTTTTCAACGCTTTTCTTTTTTTTTTTAAATTTAGTTTACTTTAAAGTTTGTACAACACTGTACAATATTGTGCAAAGAAAGTTTTTATTTTGTACAATCCAATATATTTTACTTAAGTCATTCAAGTTATTTGTTTACAAAGAAAAATTCTAACGGCTTTTTTAAAGTGGCAACAATTATAACTTTGTTGCTAAGTTCCCAAATATTGTAGTTCATAATTAATACTTTATATTATATTATAGATATAATGCTGTATATACTTTAATGATCTAATTACATTTTGTGTTTTCCAGTTTGTAGAAGATTATGAGCCAACAAAAGCAGATAGTTATCGTAAAAAAGTGACGTTAAAGGGAGAAGAATGTCAGATTGATATACTTGATACTGCAGGACAAGAAGACTACGCTGCTATAAGAGACAATTACATTCGTAGTGGTGAAGGCTTTTTATGTGTGTATAGTGTTTGTGAACCTGAATCTTTTGCGAATGCTACAGATTTTCGTGAACAAATATTAAGAGTGAAAGGTGAAACAGAAGAACATATTCCATTTATCTTAGTTGCTAATAAGGTAGATTTAACTGACAAAAGGCAAGTTTCAAGTGAAGAGGGGCGAGCGAGAGCAAGAGAATGGAAAGTAGAGTATCTTGAAACTTCTGCTAAAACAAAAGAAAATGTAGACAAAGCATTTATGGATTTAGCTTTGGAAATACAATCTCGAAAGAACGAGAAAAACCAATCAACTGACAAACCTAATAACAAAGACAAGAAAAAAAAGAAATGCATTTTATTATAAATTTTTTCTCTGCGTTTTGTTGTAAGTGATTTCAATTCCACAATTTACAAAGACATAATTTTTATGCACGATATTTCTTTTTGTTTCAAAATGAAATTCTAGATTGCTGTAAACGTACATATCGAAGTTATGTTATTAATGCAGCTTGGTTTGCTTTCTAATTTATGTGTATATAAAATAAATTTAACTTCGTAAAAAAATGGTAATGTAACAATTGAAAATATAACCGAATTCAAAACCTTTAAATTGATTTTAAAAGAAATATAAAATATTATTTTGTAATAAATCTTTATTAAAAAAGGTAATAATATCATTGATAACATTTTTTTTAAATATTATGTTTGAGTTTTATGTAATTCGTTCTTAAGAAGTTTTTTTCGACTATTTTTACTATGGTGTTCCTTGATACACGTTCCGTGTTACAAAAAAACCCTCTTGACAAAAACCCTACAAGAGCTACCCCTGTAATAATTTCAAAGCATTCATAAAAAATGATTTTAATTAAAATTTTAAAGCGATTGCGTCATACCATATGCTTATAAGCTAAACGACCATCCCGATTATTGTCTTTGGTTTTCAATATCAAATAAACTTTTCTTCTTGGTTCGTTGAATCTTCTTTCGTTCTTTAATAGGTTGACAAGAATTGTGTTCTATATGTGTTAATTCGAATAATATCGCGTACCAGTTGCTTCTCATAGAAAAAGTAAAACACACTTATTCGAGAATTTTACACTCATTGTATTATTTCATTGAGAAATTCATGAATAAATATAGAATTGGTAATACAAATAAAAACCTGAAGTAAAAGATAATTTCAAAAATCGATTATTACACAAATTAGCAATAACATAATAATGAGTACAAAGTTAATTACCAAAAAATAATTTTTTATCACCTTAATTTTGTTAAATTAAATTTATGATCCATGAAGTAAATATAAAAATCATAAAAAAGTAACTTAATTTAGATATTACTACTACTGCAGACAAACTCATAAAAAAAGTTCACAATATAATGATATAGTAGGGAGATAAGGCAACTTTTATAGCAAATGTAAATCTTTTTTATTTTAATTGCATTGCGTTCTTTATATTTCATTTTCAAAAAGGTTTCAACCACTTCTGTAGCTGATTTAGTTCCAAAGATATACGTCTTTTAATATTTTCAATTCATTGACTTTTTATGAAATATTTTCTTCAAGTATCTAGTCAAGTCTTTGGCACCAAAAAAAAAAATTTTTTTCTTGCATTAAGACTTTGCGTTAACAAACTTTTAACAAAGATTTATTAAAAGTTAAATCGTAAATCAAAATTATTTGAACAATTTATAAATATATATTTTTTTAACAGTAGAATATGTTTTAAACTTTTTTAACTTAACTTGAATTTTTAAATGGTTTAATTTATAATACGTTAAGCGTAACAAAACTTAACCGCTTAGAGTCAGTTGTTTAGATTAATTTATTATTTTCCCCACCTATGATAATATAAAAGTTTTTCTTTTTTTTTTAATAAGGTTTTATTTTATAATTTCCATTTAGAATTTTAGGGTTTTCAATTTTTTTAAAAACATTGAATGAAAAACTTGTTGAATTGTTTTATTTGATTGGGTAAGTTAAAAGATTTAGAATAATATTGATTGGGTAAGTTAACAGACTTAAAAACAACAGAATACTTTTATGTATAATAAGTGAAAGACTTTGAAATTAGTTTAAATTAATTTAAACTAACTTAATTTAAACTTTAACTAATTAGTTAAGTATTTTATTGATGATTAAAATATTTATAAATAAATGAATACTTTAAATTTATATAAATTTATATATTTGTTCGAAATGATGACTGGAAAATCTATATTTATTTTGATAAAATAATCAATGAAAGTATTAAAGAAATTAAAAGATATTCTTATGATACAATAAATTGTAGATGTTGTCATGGTTTTCAATGTTAATAAACTGTAGATGTTGCCTGGTTTTCAATGTTAAACTGTTTTGCTGCAAGAAAGCTTTAGCCAAAGATAAATAGATTAGTTGACACTACCAGAAAATTAAAGAAACAACAAAAAACAAATTATTATTAAAAGTAGTTAGGTGTAGCCTTTTTTCCACTTGTGGCAAATTTATCTCATAATAAAGTAAATGAATCTTAAATTTATAAGTAACAATAATAATAAGCGAAAACAAAATGCTTCAAAAAGAAAAGAAAATTTGAAAAAGAAAAAAGTAATCTATGATTTAAAAATGAATTATTTTACACATCTTATAGATTTTGAAGATATGCAGTATTAAAGATATGCAACATAGAGCCATTAAAGGCAAAAGTGCTCCTTTCTCAACTAAATTTTTATCGCATAATCTTAGGTGTCGAATGTGACAAAAAACCTTTTTTGTAAAACAAAGGAAGATGGAAGCAAAAGAATAAACTTGTCTTTGGAGGAACTATATCAAAATCTCCTGATTGTCATTCAAACAAATTTAACACCAAACAAACAATCTTTAATTAATATAAGTAATAATTTAAAACCTTGTATAACACGTGATCCAGCTGTTGAATGCAGAAAAAAAAAAAAAAAAGAATTCATGGAAAAAATTCAAGATGCAAAACTAAACAAAAGAGCAACAAAAGAGCAAAAACATTCTTTATTAAAATTTATTAACAATCCATCTGATTTTGTAGTTTTTTTTATACAATATCGTGTTAGAGAAGAAGATTTTCTTGAATTATCTTGGGAACATCCGCAAGTGGTACAGATTGATAAATTAAACACTAAACAAACCATATACCTTGTTAAGTATGATAATTAACCTAGAGTTGTTAATAAGGCCAAAAGTAGCAAGACCGAGGCCAAAAGTTACAAGGCCAAGGTTAAGAGTTTCAAGGTCAAGGCCAAGAGTAAGAGTTTCAAGGCCTACGAAAACATTTTCTAGAGCAAAGATTAAAATTTTTTCCTTTCATTAAGGCCAATTATTAGCAAAACTGTAGGTAGCAAAAGCTGTGACAATAAAACCACATGTTGTAAAAATAGACCAAGGTTATGTGCAGAATTCAACGAAGTAAATAAGAAAATATACTAGTAGATATATATATAAAAGCCGAAAACAAAAATACATAAAAATAAAGAATGAAAACTTTAAATTCTTTAATTTAATGTATTTTTTTGAAGACCAAGGCCAAAACAATCATGGCTAAGGCCAAAATTTTCAAGGCTAAGGCCAACAGTTTCAAGGCCAAGACCAAGGCCAAGGCTTTTTTTTTTGGCCTTAAGGCGAGGCCAAGGACTAACAACTCTGTATTAACCTGATGAAGTATGTTCATTTCCTTTAATAATTGATTTTGAAAAAGGTGATTTTATTCTTTGTAGCTAGGATTGTGAGGTAATTTTATTTATTAAAAATTTAGAATTATGTTGTAGTATTTATTTATCTTATAAAATTTATAGTATTTACTTATCTTATACATCAGGTTGATACAACTCTGTATTAACCTGATGAAGTATGCTCATTTCCTTTAGAAATTGATTTGGAAAAAGGTGATCTTATTCTTTGTAGCTAAGATTAAGAAAGTCCCGGATCAAGGAGGGGGGTTGTAGCCCCGGGCCCCGCAAATTTAGGGACCCCCAAAAACTTTAGAGGACCTTTTTTTTTTATATATATAGTCATTTTTAGGCTCTGGCCCATAAAAAAGCCTCCAAAAACAAAAATAGCCCGGGCCCCAAGAAGTTTAAATCCGCCACTAGATTGTGAGATAATTTTATTTAATAAAAGTTTAGAATTATGTTGTAGTATTTATTTATCTTATTTGTTTTATTATTATGTTCCAATAGTTTGTTTTTACTGCATTTGAATACAGTGGTTTTAAAGATATTTTTATTTGTTTTGTATTTAAAGAAATTATTTATATTATTATTAACTGCACATAGTTATAATTATTAAAATTAAAATAACAAAAAAAAAAAAACTTTATGCAAAATTACTATTACTTTTACATAAATTGCCTATCAAGTAAAGGAAAGAATCGAGAAATGGAGGGCTAACTTTACACAATATTACAGCTCACTGATGGAGTGGTAAGTCCTATGGCTTACCTTCTCGTTGGTGCACTTCGTTAAGTAAGTTAGACTATTTTGTCTAATTTATGAACGGAATATATATATATATATATATATATATATTTATATATATATATATTCAAACCTGTCAGCCATCTTCTAAATTTTTTTTTACCAGTAGGTTACTCTTATTTAGGGTAGCCTACTTTGAAGTTTGAACTACAATTTGATAATAAAACCTTTTTCGATTTACCGCGAAGTTTTGAATGAATTTTAAAAATTTAAATTTCTGAATTCAAATAATTTTCATCATATAGACAAATTTGGTTACGTTAATAGTACGATATTAGTTTTCGAAGACAAAAAAAAGATTTAAGACATCTTTTACAACTTGAAATAGAAGATAATCTATTTTAAATATATATATATATATATATATATATATATATATATATATATATATATATATAACTCTAAAATTAGGTAAATTGTAAAAAAAGTAAATTGTAAGTTATAAGACCTACTGATAAACTGTTGTAATTATATTAATAATTTGTTTGCAACAACAACATTAACAACAAAAAATAAATCTACTTTTTTTTGAACGCTGTAAGTAGGCACTTCAGTCAAAATTTCAAACTGAACTTTATGTTAAAAAAATTACCAAGATAAATAGAGCCTAATATTATCTTTCTAAAGATGGTTTTATTATGATTATATTATGAAAAGAAAAAAAGTTATTTAGTTTTAAAGAACCAAAACAAAAAATCGTTAATGATATAAAAATTGAAAAAAACGTTAAAAAAACACGTTTGTTTAAAAATTTGAAAAGCGTGATTTCAAAATGTGACTAAAAACATAAAGTTAAGATGAACAAACCGGCATAAATAAATTTTTAAACAAATTGTCTAATTATAGCATATTTAGTTTTTTTAGACAAAAATTTGTCTTAAATGGTCAACTAGAGAAAAACATTCTATTTGGGCAATTATTTTGGATGGACACTCTCCCCACTC